ACTAGCAGAGACATTCACACGTGGCTGCTTCTACTGCATGACGCGATGACTTACGTGCTTGTGATTAACATTAACTTAGCATAATGCATATTACAGGTCATTGTTGTACAGAAAATTCTCTGTTGCGACATATTTAACTGGTTTGTAGCGAATTTGGTAGAGAAAAGCACAATGCGTATTTGAGGGCGGCCCAGAGCATGACGATTCAGAGCTGCGGACAGCTTGGCACCGACGGATTTTGCCACGTTTAAGTTGCATTTTTCATCGCTGCCTGCTGGTGGGACCGAACCAGACCGAGTTTCCCACGGTTAGCCGCGGAGGAGCGAGCGCCTGAGGCCCACAATGTCTCGGTTGATTTAAATGCAGCCGTGGCTCGAGAGTTGGCAACATCATGCGGGCGGCGAATGAGTTAGATCGGATACACAAAATGTGAGATTGGTCCCCAACTCGAATTCATGTGCGCAATTTTGGGGTTAAACTTGGATGCTGACTATGCAGTGAGTTCTAACAAACGGAATCCGAGAAAAAATACAACTGAAAGTTAATAAGTAATGCGTTACTGATAGCGTCGGCAAACAAATAGATCGAGAAATGTTTAATTGTGGTTATTAAACACTATGGTATTGTACAATTACATAAAAGGATTCGTTTTTATTGCAGACAACGAAAAGTAGCAGTCATTATTTCCTTTTGGTATCTGTACGGGGTAACGAAATTTAAAATGAAATATGAATTTATTTAAATATTTATATCTTGTAACTTACGAAGCATTCAGTTGTGAAAAATTGGGTGCGGGCGATCAAAGGTGACAATCTCTATTTAATATTTATACACATTCTAACTTGCATAGAATCCAACTGCTTCAAAAAAACTAAAATTTAAGAAACGCAGGATTTTTAGAGCGATGACTAACTTTGACGCCCAACTTCTCCAAAAATACTCACAATTCACACAAAATTCACAAGATATTATTTGAAAATGTTTTTGATAAATTATTTCATTAAGAAACTACTGGTGCGAGACAGCACATACTTTCTTGCCCCTTAATAACGGTTACGTAATAACATTATACCGCATTTCTATCTAGATCAACGAATCTCAGACAATTAGCGCTGGCAACAAAGCGCGCATGCAGGGATTTGGGAAAATTGTCTGAACGATTCAGCTGTTAGGGACGGACGGTGTGCCGTCAATCGATTTTTCGGTATCAAGGACACACAAGAAAGGGATTCTGGCTACACTACATATTAAAGTTTTCCCCCCATATTTAGAAACTGGATTTATCCACTTTTTCGACACAGTTTTCTCGCGCAGCATTACATAACTTTCTCTTCTTAATAAGGAACTTAAGCGCGAGAAGTCAAAAACAGTTCACATCTGCGTTTGAAATCATTTTTACCGCTTGGACTGTTGCCTAGCTATGTGATCAGTTATCCATCGACGACTAAGAATGCAAATGGACGCATTTCTCTTGGTAAGTGTTTGTTGAAAGAAAAATTACAATAATAGTCCTGACGAATGAGAAGGCGTGTACAAAAATATGAAGCTACCTCGTTAATCATTGAACTTTCATCTCTCATCGCAAAATGTTTTGTATACCGAATTGCTTTTATCTGTTTGAAGCTACGAAATGTTGATATTGAAAGATAATGTTACGTTATGTTGTGAAATCTTATGATATATTGTGCAATAATGTATCGAGGTGTACAGTGATGTCTACAACGTAGTAGTTTTTCGTGGTTTAATGTGCAATTGTTTAATAAATTGTATTATTTTATGAATCAACCGTTTAACACAAGTAAAAGTATTCTCTATCAAATACTGGGTTACTGTGGTTTCATGTATTCCTTAAGAAATTGCCAAGTAGAGGTGGTCATTTAATGTAATGTCATCATATTTAATATAACATAAATCTTATCACATGACTCACTTCTCTTCAAATTTATTTAATCGAGCACTGTTGTTGCCAAATTTTTGAAGTGTGATTACATAATTCACCAAACTAAATTCACAATACTTTTTGCATACTAATCAGTACACATGATACAAGCAATTTAGTGTGACACGCAGTTTTAAAGGTAGGTATTCCAGCAGCGGTACATTTCACCGTCTTCATGGTCTGTAAGGACCATGAAGAAACCTTCTGGTTTTGATTGTTGGCAATCGGAGTTGAATGTTGAGTGCGGTTGAGGGACATAGTCGAGAATCTGTAATTGAGTTATGAAGTTGAAATTCTGGTGGACTTTTTTATTATAATCTGGAAGATTGGTGGCTAGGTGTTTTTAGGTCATTTTTAGACGTTGAAGACGGCTTGAGCTGTTACAAAATGAATATAGAATTTGAAAATTGCTTGATTCAGCTCTGCGAGGGAGATAAATCAGGACGCTACTGCGATCATTCTTAGCCTTTTTATTGGAATATCTGTTTTAGTGATTTGTCTTGCTTTCTGTTCCATAAAGTGTCTTCACTTGTGTAATCTGGCGTGAGATTAAAGAGCTCGCATTGTTTCATTATGTGGGTTAAAATCGTAATCCCAAAATCACAGGTAAAAACAAATTTGCAACGGTAAAAAATTGGCGACGATAAGAAATCTAACAATTAATCATAGTTGTATAGCGTTCAATACTTCTAATTGTGCCCTTTTCATCTCCCTAAGCAATTTAAATTCTTGCACAAAAAATAAATAAGCAGCACAAAAATTTGTTACAATAAATATCTTGAATACATTTAACTTGTGTCCGATAGTACAATTATCTATATCTTTAAAATGAAGGAAGTATGAAATTATGTGTCCAATTCTTTAATATTTTAAAAGTATCTTCCACGTTCCTAATTTCTCTCCAAGAACTTTTAACGAGAAGAAAGAAAAAAATACTCTAAAGCCAACGTGGATATAAGATTATAACAAAACTTTACACTTTTTATAATAAAATCTTTTATAATTAAAAATAAACTTAATTTCAAACATTTGGAAAGCATCACAAAAAATAGTCTTTACTAATTCACATCTGATAAGATACACATCATAAATATCACATAACGTCCTGAATCTGTCGCCTACATACGTGTCAGACATTTTTTGTGAACCCGGTGCAAAGGCGTTTTTCCAGTACAACTATTAAAAGCATGCTATGCCATCTTGTCCCTTTCACTCCTTTCTTTTTGCGATTACGAGAACGTTTCGTGACAAATAAAGCACTTCAAACTTATTCATTACAATATCTATTATCACTATTCCTCGTCTACCACTGTTCGGAGGCATAAAGCCTGGAGCGAAAAACTGACGTACAGCAAGATTTTTACGGAAAAACTCAAAGTCGTCTAAGTAACTTCAAAACAACTCAGAAGTTGCAAATTACTATTTCTTATCAGATTCCATTGTGATCCTCATTCCGATCCCGGGGCCATTAGGGACACTAAGCGACGCAGCACTTGTCGGAAGCTGCTGAAGCTGCCATCTATTGTGGTCTGTCGAACGTTCCATAGTAGTCACGTCTTGACGGTAAAATTTACGGTAATTAATTAAAAATTAATGTGAATACGGCAAAAGGAGCAATACGGAAAGGAAATAGTGACCTTCCATTCGCACTTGGTGCAGCCCTACGCGGGAGGGTTTTGTTTTCATGAATGTTTGACACCTTCCGTAAATTATGTCCTTCAAATCAAAAGCGTTTTCAAGATATAACAATGTTTGTGATGTATTTTGTACATTTGTTGTATATTCAGAAGAAACTGACACTTTAACTTATACTTTTCAATTAGATTTAATTCTCTTCTGAATATTCGGTCCGTAATATTTCAAAGATTAGTGAATTTTACCGCAATACGTTTATTATTTATAGAAATTTTTGTCGATAACGCTTTTCATGTTTCTTCTAATTTACTGCAAACAACACATGATTGGGAACACTACCACTTCCGTTCGCAATGAACAATGGTTCTCCTTTGAGGAGTGGTAAATCAAACCACAGTCGTCTCGGATCACAATTTGAAATTAATTTTTTTCCGCAGTCCTCGATTGCGTAATTAGTGTTTCCAAGCACGTGTCTAAGGTCATTAGGTCCGTAAGTGTACAGTTTATTATTGCGAGAGGGGGCGGTAATCTTCCCCAGTGGAGGGCGAAATACGTTCGGTCGCCCAGAGGGGTATGCTCCACGCAAAGCCTTAGCCCACACAAATTCCAAGCTTCCGACCGTCTCCCAGTTTAATGCATGTTAATGTGTTTGTAAGTAGGGGGTGAGGACGAGACAATGAAAAGGAAGGAAAGACCGCGCGCGGAGCGTGTCCCGTTCGTTGCCTTACTGCTGCAAGGCTATAAGACATTGAAACATCTATATAAGCAAATGGTACTCTTATTCTTCGCCAATTCAAGGTTATCTTATCTTACAACCAAAGTTAATCTGATCTTTGTAGGAAATTTTACTTACTATAATTATGTATATGAACTATTTTAGCTAGATTGTAGTATGGTTTGCTTTGGTTTGGTTTTATTTCATTTATTTTATCAAAGATAAGTAAAAGTGAGTCGTATTGGGGAGAAATACAACCTGTGAATGTTTCCTTGAGCTCCAGAATCTCTTCCCCACCTTTTACCCGTAAATAGTTGAGTGATTAATAAAAGCATTACGATATTATTGCTCCTTAGCTATAGAAAACTTATTTGCATCAGAAAATGAACGCAAGATATTCGCTTGAAGCCCACCGTTTGAGCAGATTCCCTCCTCCCGTTCTCCAGTATTTTTAATGACACACTGTAAGTACCAATGAACAACCATACCAAATTGCAGAACTTAGGTATTTATTTCTCTCTATCAGCATTTTGGTTCAGTAATTTGTTTGGGCTAATTGAAAAAAGTACTAGAAAACCCAAGACATGGCAGACCTGGAGTATCGATATCTAAAAGTACATAAACGTTATCGAATGTGTAAGCTGCGAGACTCTCATACAAACGACCAGAGAGCGCGACAAAGTGTCCTTCAGACGTCATTACGTCATAAGCAAACTATTTAAACACAGCTGCTGCTGCTCCTCCAGTAGAGCACTAGCAGTTGCGTAAAAGGTTCTTCGAGGTAGGCACGTACTCCACATCTCTCTGCTTGTTTATAATTACTTTTTTATATGTCGCTGGTGTTATTTAGCAAATTCTCACTACATATGCTTTGGCAAATAGTGTGTGAATCGCTTTTTATATTGAATTTTATTACACATAATTAATAAACCAATTTAGTTTATTAAGCGTGTAAATATATGTTTTAAATGAATCATGAACAATTAAGAGCGACCAAAATTTCTTTCGAAAACATTTAGATATTAGCACATCTTCAAAAAGTGCAAAACGTTCAGACAGTTGTAGGATAATTGTGAATTTTAGGTTCGTCAGAAGTAATAAATGTGTGAATGAATAATGATTTCGGAATGTGTGGCAAGAAAAATAATTCATAATCTTACATTATCACAGTTCGTATTCATTGGTGTTAATATTTGTGGTTCTTCTCGCACATTCAGTTAACATAGGAAGGTTCTAATCAATGCTGATGAATTGAGTTTTGTACTAATTACATTAATGTATGAAACGTTTTTTTCGGTTTTAACACATTTTCTGAAGCTGGTTTTTTATTTGCTTATAGTTTGTAAAGATAAATTTGTTCAATTTGATTCTTAAATTTCATATCGCCAATGCTTGTTATCTCCAAATTATTAACGCAAGTTTTTTTTTATTCAAAGTAAAAATAACTGGTCTCTGAGATATTTTTATTTCTTGTAATTATAAATATGAGCCTAATTGAATCTTCTGTAAGGTATTAATGCAATAACTTTATTTGAAATCGCGATATTGCCAATACGTATTGTTCTGTTACACACGTAAGTACAAATATTGAATTATCTCAAATACAATACCTGCTGGATACCTTCCAGAAGCCATTATTATACTCTTGCAAACCCGTCTCCCTTTTTGCAATCCTTAAACGTGGATACTTAAAATAGTCACACATTTCCAAAGTCGTTCAAGAAAACTTATTGCAGTTGACAGGTGGAAAACTAGAAAAGTAAGTAACGTCCTTTGAGTTTAACAGAGTGCACGTGACCAAGGGTACATTTCCTCCCAGATAGATCTTAGCATACGATTCAATAATCATACATTCAAACTCTGAAGATTATTTCTGTACTCTTAAGTTATGAATATTCATTTTTTTTTTGAAAATAGAAAGTGTATATAAAGTAAAATTAATCCATCTAATTAAGCGGTTGCATCCATCAATTTAATGACATACAAAGAGAAGTGTCTGTAATAATATTACTTTTGCAGGAACCAACACAGTCCAAAGTCGCAATGTCTCTTCAAGGACAAGTGGCCCTGGTGACAGGAGGTGCCAGTGGTATAGGCCTCGCCACTTGCAAGGAGTTTCTCAAGGAAGGAGCAAACGTAAGAACCACCTATTAATTAATACGTCACGAAAGTACACTAGCAGAAATGCCATTAAATTTAATGTAGATTAATGAACTGAACATGATAATGTAATCTTGTACATTAAAAAGAGCTTTACATATTTGATCATAAAATTTAATGCACACATTAAAAATCAGTGTAGACTTAATGTACAGGTTCTCCCGTTTCCCCTGCCTATCATTTTTTTTAAAAATTGTTGTGTCTATATAGACGCAACGCGTCTCCTAGCTTCTTTAGGAGCGTTACGCGCACTTGTGGAGTAATCCTCCTTGATTAAGCGCCCTCTAGGGGCTACTGGGTAATCAAGTCACCTCAGTCGCAGTCAAGTCAAATAATCGCCGACAGGTAGCGTCCTCGCGCTCGCGTCGCGCAAGCTAGTGTGTAATCTACCAATCGGCCAGGAATAAGGGTAGGGAGTTGGGAAGGATAATGTTGAGAACACTTCCCAGGAGGTGGACTATCCCCAACAGGGGAGCAGGGAAACCCGTCTCGTCGTAACAAATTCCACACGAGGTTCTACAGGGATTCTACGGGATTCCAACCCGGAACCTCAGTGGTGACCCTGAACCACAAGAGCCATTGATCTCTGTATTCATTATCACAAGTGCGAGATCATTCCTTCCTTCCAGTTATGACCGTCAACATTTGTCGTTTGCATCCTAACATACATGCGTACATCAAAATTAATGTGCGTTCATGATAACATTTCATGGAATTTCTGACTGTACGGTACGCGTCAGTACAGATGAATTCAACTTTCGAGGAAAATTACTCATGCGAAGCAACGCCAAAAACAGAGTAGTGTCACAAAGAACAAGCTCTTATCTGTGTTTGTTAGATTTTTTATTTGACTGTGAAGGATCTAATGCAAATATTTCGTATCTGAGGAATCACAGAATGTGTTAAAGTTTAGTGTATAATTTGAGAAACGCTACACTCAATATATGACGTGTTTCATCCATCGTAACTTTAGACTTGTGTTTAAATTAGGATTTAAAGAAAATAGTTCTGTATTTTACCATGGTAAGCAGTACACCGTCGTTGTTATTCATTCTAAATCGTGCTTTTCGTAGGTGGCGGTGTGTGACATCTCCACAAAGGGCGAAGAGGTGGTAAAAAGCCTACAAGCAGAGTTCGGGGCAGAGCGCAGCATTTTCGTAAAGGCGGACGTGTGCAGCGACGACGAGGTTGAAGGTAATTTCGTATCTTGTGTATAGGTTAAGTCTGAAGTCCTCATCCGACTATTTCCCGACTTAGCAGGTAAATGTTCACAGTATCTTTAGTCATATGAAGTTGACATTTAGCAAAGTCGAGCTGACTAGGACAGATGAAACAGTGCCTAGGAATGGCAGATGCTATGTGATAAACATATATCTGACTGTTGGTGCAAAGCTTCTACGGCTAGTGACAGGCAATGTGTGTAGTTTCGAGTGCCACTGTAGATTTCGTCTATCTGTACTTTTATTTCCCATTACTACCTCACCTCACCTAACCTAACCTCATTGTAAACCTACTCTGTAATATATGTATGACCAGATAGTGAATAAAATGTGAAATAAAAACGACTATAAACCTCAGTTGATACTTCGTTACTCGTTCCTTGTGATGTATTTGCCACGAGACTGCGTCTTTGACCTTCGCGATTTACATAAAAATAAACTTTTATCTGTACTACGTACAATGTCAAATGCATCTTTACGCGATACTAATACTTACAAGATATCTCACATTCGGTCAATGATCTTGCTTTAGCCAACATCTTTCGCCTAATACCGCCATTAGCCAAATGAAATCTGAAATGATCCGTGGTCAAGGTGGGTTTTCTCACAGTGCGAAGTGTTGGGTACTTTTGAACTAACTGCCATTCATTATCATTCATCAAATACAATCAATACCATGGGTGCGCCGAAGGAATATCTTAAACGGGAAAGAACATCGCACGATCTCTCCTTCCTTATTCTTGCGCCCCTCTCCTCCTTACAATCACATACTCTACACCATACACCGATTTAAACATAGTGGCACTTCAATGTCACGAGCTGGAACCAGAGCGCGACATCGTCATCCAATCAGGAGCTTCAATACCAAAAGTCGTAACGAAGCTCCCGATTGGATGACTGTCCCCTCTCTGACCAGCTTAACTTGGACTGTGCGGTCATGTAGATATGATTGATCTCTATTCAGAATATTGCATTATTATGCGTGTCCTTCCTGAAGTTATTTCTAGTCAAACAGAGGATGAATTAAAATTATATATTATATTTTCAAAACTTAGACTACAGTCTTTGCCTACTATGAGTGTTAGGTATGTGTTGTCTGTTCCTATAAGTAATGCATTTTCAGAAAGTGTGTTTTCAATATTGGGAAAATTTGGGCACGATCGTAATACGACTAGGCGTAGTGTCAACGCTGTGAAGGTAGAAATAGAGTGCAAGATAAACTACCAGGAAATGAAATGTGCAGAGTTGTATGACTACCTGAAAAGTAGGCCTTCTTTGATTAAGGTACGTAAGTGAAACCAGAAGAATGTACGAAGGAGGGACAAAAAAACGGATTGTCGTCATAAATTATTTATTATCTTTTTTACAAAATTTCTTCAGTCACCTTCAAAGTACTCTCCATTAAATGTAATGCACTTGTCAAGTATTCTTTCCCATTGTTTTTTGGCGAAGCACCTCGAACTCAACGTTTGGTATCGCCCAGGGTCCTTTGCGAAACTGATTTTATTGCCTCCACATCATCAAAACGCTTTCCTTTTAGATTTAATTCATTCTTGGAAACTGAAAAAGGTCCATGGGGCTAGCTATGCGGAATACGGGGGTGGGAAACGACAGACCACCCACTGAGACCCTAAATAGTGGTTCACAGATAAGGCCGTACACGCAGTGTGTGTGTGTGTGTGTGTGTGTGTGGGTTGTGTGTGTGTGTGGTTGTGTGTGTGGTTGTGTGTGTGTCTGTATGTGTAGTTGTGTGTGTGTGTGGTGGTGTGTGTAGTTGTGTGTGTGTGTGTGTGGGTGGGTGGTTGTGTAGTTGTGGGAGGGGGTTGTGTGTGTGTATGTGCGAGAGTGAACTGTGTCGTGATGAAGAAATCAGTCGCCTGATCGCCCAAGTTCCGGATATTTTCCCCGCACATTCTCTCACAAACATCCGAATCTCAAATAAAAGTATTTGTTAACATTATGGCCAGGGAAAACAAACCCCCAGCTCACAATTTCACGAACATCAACTTTTTGACGAATTTTCTCAACGTTTTCATCGTTTCGAGGTGTTGAAGGGCGCCCACAACGAGCATGGTCGTCAACACTCGTTTCACGTCGTTAAAGCACCCGAACGTGTGTGCGGCTCAAAGTATTCTCCTTGAAAGTTTGTTGAAGCATTTGGCAAGATCGCGTTGTCGATTTTTGAAGCAGGAAACATTTCAAACACACATTGTTTGTACAAAACTGTGTAATGCTAGAGAATGAATGAACATTAAGTTCGACTTCGCCCTTTTGCGTTCTTACGTAAGTGTGCATATACCGATTTTGACATGAATGTGACCCACAACTTATTCTTATTCGAATTAACTAATACCTTATTCACAAACATACAAAACAGTCACCTTTTAATGTTAGATTCAAATGTAAAGCTAGATTCCCATACAAAGCGATTAATAGACTAATTGCAGAAGTAGGAGTGAACATATTTGACTGATTTGGTAAAGTTTTAATCTGTTCAAAAATTAGGGGAGAGAAATATGGAAGTTTTAAAGAAATACGGGGAAGAATCAAATATAGTTGAAAAACTATGTTGCATTAGAATTTTCGTAACTAATTGGGAATGATCTGCATTTTTGAATTTAGCACTAGTGCTAATGCAAATGTGCTATGTGTATTTTTGTGCATATTACCATATATATAGTAGAGTTGCTCTACAGCTGTCGCCGTTTCTCCGCTTTCAGTCTCCATGCCTCTCTATTGGACCATAGATCATCTGGCATTTCTCTTGCCGTCATAGCCTCTTGCACTCCCTGTGCCATGCAAGTCTGGTCTTCCTCTCTTCTGTCTTCTTCGCACCCATTTCAGGACTCGTTTTGCCATCTTCGTCTGTCATTCGTTAACATGACGCTACCAGACGATTTGTTTTTTCTCTATTTCGTCAAGATAGATTTCTTGACATCCATTTATTTCTTATATCGTACGTTCCTGATTCTGTCACGTCTGCTATAACATCAGCCTTCTACGCCAGGTAGTCCATTTCAAGGCCAGCAGTTCCCTTTGTTCTTTTATCGATCTCCCAGACTTCTGAACCGTATTGTTGTAACACTCTTAACTAGCAAGGAGTAAAGACTCTTTGATAGTGTTAGTGATGGTTTTGTTCCATAAACAGAGTTTATACTTCGTGTCACGTTTTTCCCCAAGCTATCGTCTCTCAATTTCGTCATTGCTATTTCCCTTATTGGTTAAAAAGTACACCAAGTATTATATTTTGTTTACCCCTTTCATTTTTCCTCCATTTCCACAAGAAACTTTATTTCATTTTTATCACACATATTACCAAAAAAGCGCAAAAAAGTAGCTATACTAAAATTTAACATTAGCATCAAAACCTTCAAGTATTTGTTAGGGCGAATAGAATTTTAAATTTTTTGCCATAAGACCAGATCATATCCCGTATGAATGTAACACACGAGGGCATTGGGTTTTGGGAACTTTTGAACGGGAATAAAACATAAGCTAGTACAATTCACTGGTAAGTTCAAATTCATTGGTAAGGCCACAAACTGAAAGAAAATATTTAAAAGCTGGGTATGAAAGAAAGTCAACATATGAAACTATTTTTTAAAACAGTTTACAGCGTCGGCGACGCCATATTTAGCTAGATTATAGTAAAAGGAAAATGCCAGTGGAGAATTTTAACACTATTTAGAACAGCAACCGCGAAATATGAGGCATGGCACGAATTACACCTTTTTCAGTAGACGGCACTGTAAAGTACAGTTCTATTTATTGTGGTACAGGCAAGCCAAATGTGGATTTGCAAGTCTAAAAATGCCCAAATATGCTATAGTATATTAATATTGAGTTTTCTCTGTCATAGCCGCATTCGAAAAAACGAAGAGCCATTTCAAGAAACTGTCCATAGTGGTCAACAATGCAGGCATTGTGAACGATTCCACTTGGGAAAAGGAAGTGGATCTGAATTTGGTATGAAAATCTTATGTATCTTTGGTATATTATAATCGTTTTTGAAACATAAGTGCTACTTATCACACGAATGAATTCTGACTTATGTCAAATAATTTATTGGAATATAATATATTAAAATAATTATCCCAATTATTAAGAATTCATTAATTTTATATTTAATTTTATATTGATTAAACTTTACTAATACAATAATAAAAATATTTTCTGTGGCAGTTGCGACGTCATAATTTTCGATTATTTAATTTTGAATTGTTTTGCTTTTCACATTTCTTCAAACGGAATCAAATTATCATTAATATGAAAACGGTAAAAAAAGAGGTCTAATTTTCAGTTTCTATATTTTAATATTAACTAATGACTATTAATTGTATAAATTATACCACATAAAATATTGTGTTTAATTATAATTTGCTAAGCCGAAGTCCTTGAAACTCCTCCTCCTAAGGTACTCGCCCCAGGTGAGCTCTCCATCGCATGGAAGCTGAGGAAAAATGGCCACGTGCTGCGCCTGAGGGAAATAACTGGCGTCAAAAGAGTACTTGCTAATCAACTGAACGCCTTTCAAACATACCCTGGGGAGGGTGTCACGTTCTTCTAGCCTTGAGCCTCAGAACCTGGAGTGAATTTGCGCCACAGCAAATCGTCCGCTCCCTCGCCTCTGAGATTTCTTCTTCTGCACCCACTTCCATTTACCCATATTGTGCTCATTTAATTATTTACTTCTTTATTTGTTGATTTACTTGTTGCGTAATAACTCATTTACATGTAAACTTATAAACTGAATTACTGAATAACTTCTTTATTTCTTATTTTTATCCTCTCCAATCTAGGTTTTGTCTGTACTGCTAACTAGTGCTATTTTCTCAGCCCCAGAAGAGTCAGAAGCTTTCCCAAAAATTTTCGTAATTTTTTCATTAAGTGAGACCAATCACTTAATGTTTTCGGCAAGCGTTACGTTTCTAATTCGGAAGTAATAATTCTCCACTCCCATTTGTTTTCCTCTCCAAGTTTCGCTGGTACAGCGATTTAAGAGGATGTGGATCCAATTTTCTATATCACCACAGATCACACAGTTATCATTGTCATTTAAAATTTTCAAACTAATTTACTTCCACCCCCGGCCCTAACCCATGCCTAACTTCCTCTTAGGTCCATTCTCAGAATTGTGAAGATAATTTTCACAACCCCATACCGGACTAGCGTAAATTTGTCACTAGCGTGTATTTTCCGGCTGTTGCTGCTTGGATATCTTGCCCTTTTATATCTAACGGCCTATCAAAAATTAAATATTGTACTTCGCGTGTTGCCCTATTCCCAACCATCAATTTTTAATTTCTCTTTAAACGTTTTTTGTCAAAAACTGCGCCATTGTTTTTGATAGTATAAAGTACGTTTTCGAAAATGGCCTCATGTCGGTTGAAAACCTTTCTACCAAACTCTGCCATTTGATATTTTGTTCTCTACCACAGAAAGGAGTCATCAGAGGGATGTTGGCTGCGTGGAAATACATGGGGAAGCAGGACGGCGGCAGCGGAGGCACCGTGGTTAACCTCTCATCTATTGCCGCTGTGATGATTGCCCCAGCCTTTCCGTTCTACACCGCAACTAAAATGGGTGTTATAGGAGTTACACGCACTTGCGGAGTAAGTACTGGAGGTAAAATTTACCTCAATGAGCCAAAAAGGAATTGCATCAAATATTTAGGATGATTCAGAATAGTTGTACCGTCTACGAGCTCTAGGTTTGTAACACGTTCGACACTTTCTGCCAATGGACTGTGGTATCTCATAACGTTATATGTAACAAATTCGTAGTTGGTTACAAAAATAGTATAAAAAATACTGTCGGATTGTATTACCTACCTATTTTCTTCATTCAAATCCCAAAAGGTTTGCGAATCTTTCGATCTTTTTAAGTGATACTATTAGCATCCATGATCATTTAAATATATACATGAAAGAAATTTGTCCGAGATAATGTTGTATTTCTAAACATATATAATACAGGGGAAGCATTTCTATCAAAATGTATCGTGTGTATATTCCTGCTGTAGAAGCAATTTTTTCTTAAAATATCGAATAAGGAGAGTTTGAAAGCAGATTGGATTTCAAAACTGTCGAATCAGAAAATGGCTCAAAAATTCAAGTTTTGGGGACTACAATCTTTTTGAACTTTCTTGGTTGTCAAGGAGATAGTTCTAGGAACAATGAAAACGTGCATTTCTGGTTTTCCACAGTAACAAGAGACCAAGTGCAGGAAAATATGCAATTTTGAAACTAATGGTGAGAACAGAAAGCAACGCCAGGCCCTTGACTACGGCGAATCGAGCCAAAACTACACAATTCGTCAATGAGTGTTCAGGCCATTCTCTATTTCTGATATCATTCGTTCCCAGAATGCATGGAAAAAGTTAGTAGAGAAGGCGTACATCAAGAGATTTGAGTTCGGGGCTCTTTGAATTAAATTTAGAGGAATTACAAAAAACACAAGCCCAATCCATTCATTATTAATATAATTTTTTTTTAAATCCATTTACAAAATCCTGTACAGTATTACAGTCTACCTTTACTGGTGTTAGTTCGCAATTAAAAAACACAAAGGCAAACAGCAATGTAGCCATACACAATAACCAAATACCCAATATCTTATAATGCAAGCAAAGAAGTGTTGTGAAGTGGCCGCACCGAAGATTTGCAGTAGCTGATTTTAAGGCACTGACGGTATTGAATCCAGAGCAATTGGATGCGCGCACGAGTCCAACTCCCGGAGCCCGGGCTTCTTTCCCTCCGCGCACTCGTTCGGCGCCGCCGTGTGATAGCTGGCCGGGGGTTCTGCTCCGCAGCAGAATCTGATAAAACCTTTACCTCCTCCCGCGTTAAGGTCGCGGGTCACTTTGCAGAGAAGGGGCGGAAGGGACCAGCTTCCTCGCGTGGCCTCTGCCTCGACGCCGCACGCCTAGACTCAGTGAAGTTTCCAGGCCTCTCACACCGACGTCCGTTCACTCGCAATCTCACTAGCCGAATCCACTATTCCCGATCGCCACCCCAGCCGACTGTAAATGTTTATTCCTTGGAGTTGGTGGCCGGCGTGAGTTCAGATGTCACTAGCCTAGGCGACGTTGTCCCCCTCTAGGCGGCAATCGCGCGGGCATTTCAATTTCGTGGTACCTGCCTCACGTGAGCGACACTATGTGATTGGTCACATAACCTCCCCCTTTGGAGAAAACAATTCAAAAAATATTTTTGTATACAATCTGACAAAGTTACCAATTTAATTCTATATTCAATACAATGTATAATACTTACTCTAATTCTATTTATATGACGGAACCATTACGGAAATACTCGCTTCCTTTGTGGGCAAATAAAAAATAAGTCAGACATATTAGTTGCCATACAAAAACGACAAAATTATTCGGTTTGGGCTCTAGAACAAAATGACCTATGATGAAGTACAGTTCTGTGAGTAACACTTAAAACACAATTATACTACATATAGATTTATTGAGGCTGGATTAATTGATATTTGCCAGTACGTCGCTGAGAAATCGGCGCTTGTAAGTCATGTGGTATCGCAAAGCTTATTCATCATCTCTTCCACGACATGGGATGATCTTATCATTTAGCTAGCGCGCATCCAGGCAGAGCGTGATTTTCCCATTGGTCTTCTTGGCTACTGTTGGGTTAATATTAGATGTCTTCTGTTAGCTTCTGTAGCGATTATCCCTACTTCAACCATAGTACTTATCAACTGATCTACCTTTTATCTACCTAATATTTCCAGATATTTTTCAAAACAGCAAAAATTAAGCCACTTTTTAAAAAAGGGAACAAAAATGAAATTGAAAATTACCGCCGATTTTTTTATCAGTTATCCCAACAATATTAGAAAAGCTTTTCTATATGCGAATAGAAACTTTTCTCAGGAAAAACGAAGCTTTTTCAGACTCACAACAGGTTTTTAGAAAATCAAAATCTACGGACACTGCCATTTTCTTCTTTTCTTAAAGGTGTCATAAAAGGAACAAAATGAAGCACCCATTCGAATATTTTTAGATCTTTCGAAAGTTTTGACGTTATTCGCCATAAAATCTTTCTATCAAAATTACCTTCTTATAGAATTCGTGGTATCACCCTAGACATGATAACCTCGTACCTTTAACATCGATCTCAAAGAGTTGAAATACGGAACTGAGATTATTTACTTATCTTTCCACTTCTTTACCAATTGAATATGGGGTCCTGCAAGGTTCGATCTTAGGTCCTACCCTCTTTCTGTAATTCGTAAATGATATGCTCTCGTCTATTAAAAACGGAAAAAGTTCTGTTTACCGATGACACGAATGTTGTTTGCAAAAAGAAACAATAAATAGTACGATTTAAGAAGTTTTAAATTGATTTTGTAATGACAATTAATAATTAACGAATTAATAATTCAAGGTTAATCCACGCACAAGCTATATATATATATATATATATATATATATATCTATATATATATATATTCTAGCAACCCACCTACCTCGTACAACTTACACATCACAGTTGCAGGCATGAACGCGTAAGCGGGTTATCACGATTTTGCTCGTTAAGAGCTTAAATCTAGGGATAGGTTATTCAGAGTGCGAGAAAGGTTTGAAATCTTGACCCTAACATGACACAGATTGCACACACGAGCGTATAATTTACTAAACTTTTAGTGGCATAAGTTTAATGACAGAAACCGCATATAGAATCACACTTTTACCAAGATATCAAAAAACGATAGAAACCTTTACAACACCTACGAACAATGGAACACATAATTTACCTTCAAAAATTGATACTCTGAAAATAATTACCCTAAACTACACTGGGACATTCCTTAAAATTAATATACTAAATTTCGTTTAATACATTGGACATAACCAAAAATCAATTTGCATCTCCGCTTCAAAATTTAATGTTAAATAAACAGAATGTGTCCAATAGACCTATCTCATTTACCCAATTTAACTGTGTCCTGAAATGGCAAATAATAAATGTCCCTAAAGAGATGTTTTTAGCAAATCGTCTCCTCTCAAAACGTCTTCCACTATAATCATTATATTTGTTGCAGCCGTGGCCTCCACAATTCTTAACATTTCCTATCTATTTTTCCCGCAATAAGTTGACCTATTCTTCTGACGTTCCTACTGTTACCCTCGTACTTCCCTTTGCCTTGGTGTCGTGCGCTGTCGCGCGCGATCGTCGCCTGGCCGTTCCATTCTCCAGCTCTGCGTTGTAAAGGCGGGATTCGCCTCTGCGTCTGGTTGCTTCTTGGCGTCCTCTTTCCGTTCTTCTCCACACGTTTCCGTCTCTTCTCGTGCGCCTGCTCGGCTCTCTTCTCTCGTTGCTACGGGCGCTTGACTACGCCCACTGTGCGAAATGTCCTTCACTACGAATACGTGCACGTTCCCCGGTCGTCTACTTTACTTGACAACAGGAACTTTATGTTTCCTTCACAACGGTAATTTTACTTCCGTGTTTTAATTGAAAGAACCTACTAACTCACTATCACGGCGACCAACGTACGAACGTCTGTCACGCCGAAACCTCTACCTAGAGTTCTTGCACGCGGCAAACATATAACTATAACAAAATTTACCGACTATCGTGGTAACTGAGCTGGTTATCACCTGTTGACAAGAAAGGAGCTTCCGTTGCGGAGTTCGGCGTATTATATCGGCGCCCTGGAATCCATGGTAGGGCTACTCCTCTCTCTTAACCCCTTCACAAGGGAAAACACTGCTGCAAGTGCATTCTTTATACGGCAACGGATACCAGCCGCGCTTAAGTGCCTCTGCCTTACTGCGTCTGTTACCCTCGCTGGCCTCCGTAGTTTCAACATGAACTGTGTTATCGGGTGCACCAATCCTAACACAAACAGAATAAATATATATATATATATATAATATATATTAATATATATATAATATATTATATTCTGTGACTGTATACTCTGTACAGGTGGCCTCAATTTAAATGCCGATTGTCAGACCTCACCATACTACATGGCGCAATTCTGCGCAGTCGCACAGGATTTGCGATTTGCTACCAGCGAGTGCGATAGCTTCACAGACCTCCCTCTCACTTTTTCCCAAACTATGAAGAAGTCTCGTGTTAAAGGGCCAAGCAGTGGCTGCAGGGCTTCTGTGACCAATGCCTTGTTGACAAATTCCGAGCGGTTGTTACTTACGATTATCGTTGTACGTTGTTGTTACGTTTCTCGATTACCGTCCCCAATAAACAATAAAATAGCACACTCGTAATGCAATTTTGGGAGCATATGGTGGAGCCGCCTCTATATGAATTATTTCTACTCTAAGGTTTTGTTTACTTACTATATTTTTTCTGAACTCTATTACTCTTTTCCTTCTTTCCATTCTCTTATCTTACTGTCCATTCTTAATTTACTTTCCAATCAATATATCCGTTTATTGTTATCTAACATCTAAAATCACAAGGACCAATATGTTTTTGTAATTACTCTTGTTCATCAGAAATATTCTACTTCTTGATTCTTTGAATACTTCTTTCAGCATGACATATAAATTACTAGTTTTTTCAACACCTTTCAAGTAGTGATCCCAATGTTCTATCTCCCATCCATAACTTCTACATAATTTGTACTTCCTCTTTAGACAAGTTTTGCAAGCTTTTCATCCATTACTTAGCCCGTGTCTGGTAATTATCAAAAACAGTTCGTTCGAAAATAAAATAATCTACTAGAAAAATATTAAGACTCAAACAAAGCAAGAGCCAATATTTTTAAAAAATGGTCTACGAAATTTCACTGCAATAATACTATCAGAATTGATTGTATCGATCCACGGCAAATTAGCGTTAAAATTTGAGCATCCCTCCGTTAATAGTTTTTGAGAATATGTTCCCTAAAGATGAAAATATTTAACTTACGATGGCTTAATGGCTTCTAAAGTTTTCCAAGTCCATATATGCTTGGCAAACATAAATACAAATATGTATATATTTTAACGCTATTCAACCCTTAGTTGCTGCTAGAAACAGTGTGTTCAACAGTAGGAAGCAAACTTTTAACCATTTCTCACAAAGGCAGCAGAGAAAACGTTCAAGCAACACCCGGGATATGTCAAAATGGCCACGTCCACTTCCACTCCACATAAACTTCAAAATTAAACAAAAAATACTTAGAAAAGGCATATAAAGATAAACTTGGATTATTTACCACACCAATCTATAAAATAATTAATGATCCAAAGAAGTAAAAAATATATTTTCATATTTTTTCCCATTCTGGCTCCCCTTAATACGGGCATGACCTCTTATGCTACAGGAGCCGTACCATGTGGAGCGAACGGGAGTGAAAGTGATGGCGGTCTGTCCAGGGCAGACAGATACCCCGATATTCGGCGAGCTGGTGCCCTACCGGCCCGAGTTCAATGAACCATTTCAGAAATGGACAACTGAACTCCCAAAACAAACGTAAGTACTCTGCGTATTTGCGTACTATTTTGATATCTAATGACAAATTTGAAAGTGATGAATTAACTCAGCTTGACATTAACTTATTTTCTAATAAGACAAAAAAGGTTCTTGGAAGTGTCACTTAATTCCAAATAATGTAAATGTTTTGTATTAATATTTTTACTTATATTTATATTAATATAAATAATAATAACCTATTTTGAAGAACCTTCGGACCTGATAAACACCACTGAATGCTACTAGCATGGTAGAATTATGATTATTTTAAAATACCACACGTTTGTGTGAATAACGAATAGTCCTATTCTTTTCAAGGGGTTCAATTATCTGTTAGTAGCTGTTTGTTCTTTGCAAATTCCTATAAATTACTGATGTTAATGGTTTATTGTCGAAATGAAATTTTATTGAGAAATTAAATTTAGAGTGATCTCTCATCTACAATTAACAACCTTTCCTTTTTTCTTTTTATTAAATAGGTAATTATTACACATATAAATTAAATAACTTGATACTATGTGACCAGGCCGATGGCCTTTAAACCATTACAATACCTACATTTACCGCTTTCTAATCTTTCAAATTCTGGTATTCACCCTAAATGTTTTCTCGACATCGCATCAAATCCGTGGAAATGAGACCATAAGGTACGGCTGAGAAAAACAACTGAGGATAAATATCTGCCGTCAGAAGAAGAGTGCATGCTAATTCTTACAAACATATATATAATGAAGACTGGTGCATGTGGCTTGGTCAATGGAAAGAATTATACTACAATGTGTGCCAATGCTTCGGAAAATATATTTCTATCGACAAGGCTGTTTTGTACTAGATAAAAAAGCTTCAGTATCATGTTTTATACGTAAGCTTCCGCGGCTCGAATCCATGAATTCTCGGCTATCCGGGAGACGCCGCGTCGTTTGCTGGGGTGCCGACGTCTCCCTGATAGCCGAGAATTCTTCAGTATCATGTTGTCTAACTACTTCTAAGGACCTCTACCTTATTATGAGCAAACATAGTGGTGTGGGTGTGGTTTTCCTTTACAACTGTTTCTCACATCATGCAAGATGTACCATCTGCCAGAAGACAATAGCTTGTACCATCTGCAAGAAGATAATAGCTCCAGTTCATTCATAATACTGAACACGAAATTAAGTTCGTTACGCTACCCACTCAGATATATTACAAATTCAGTCAGCCTTCGTGCAGCTAGTGGTGTGTATAATGCGAATGCACATTCCCGCGTAAGAAAGGCATACTATTCTGGGGAAGCAGTACTAGACATTTAGATTGCAGAAAAAGTGTACGAATAATAGGCAAATGACATCCACGTGATTCCTATAAATCTCAATGCATTGAACATGGAATCTTACCATTGACATGCCAACTTATTAACAAATGTGTACTTTTTGAAAACTCTGACTTACATTAAAAATAAGTGGCAACATAATTTCATGCAATATATTTATATTTACAACACCATAGGAATCGTATTCATTAGGGTTCTATTGGAAATGCTCACTACATAGAATCCACATATTAATATCTGTCCGTTACTTTGCAACACATCGCCAGATGATGAGAATGACTTAAGTGTAATTGCAAGTTAATGTATTTTTTCTACCTGTTTTTAAACAATTAGAGACTACACTGATCATCAAAAATAAAAATTTCATTTATTTTAACAATGCTATTTAATAAATTAGTTAACATTTATATTGTACAATTTTAAATACAAAATATATCTACAAAAAGTAATGTAACTTCTGCTTCTGGACCATTTGAATAAGGTTTTTCGTTCATTTTCCTTGTTCAATTGAGATAATGTTGAGATTACTCTTTGTTTTGCTTCTTAGTATAAAAGTAGCTCCACTATGCGCATATTTTGTTGATCTCTGCTTTTGCTAGTTGTAACAGAAAAGGTCCAGGCACTATGAGCTTCTATTTTCTTTCAAATGCTGTAAAATCAAACATGTAGTTCGTTTACGGATGCACAAAGGTTTTCTATAACTAAGGAGCAGAAGGTTACAACTTTTCAGCAGTTGCTAACAACACTTTGTTATTCATTATTCAGCTATGTGTAGTAAAAAGTGCAAAAGAGATCCTCGAACTAAAAAAAATTGTGCAGATTATACTTCTGAATACGTCATGTTAAATTATATTATGTTAGTACGAGTACTTTGCACGAATAAATAATGAAAAAAACTCTCTGAAAGGAAAGTCTAAAACATAAAGCGTTTCATTAAATTTTATATTCTTAAGAATGTTACTTAAGTGTTGTAATCATCTTCTGGGTCAATGAACCTCAGCCCTTGAACCGTTTCACGAATTAATACCAGGGAAACACCTTAACAAATGGACCACGCGCGATCTGTCATTTCTCATCCTCGTCCCTTCGCACACAGCACATGAATGCCGCAGCAGTACCTTGACAAACAAACCACGGATCTTTCTTTCCTCTTGTCATATTCTCACTCTTACACACACTTACAAGCACTACAGTAGCGCATGTCAAGAGACCAGTTGGCAGATAAGATCTTGTCGCGTCTGGGGCGGTTCCCTGCTGGTGGGAGACACCTTAATATGGAAAACCTTGCATGTCAAGGTGAAGGTCACCGCCGGACCTCACTATCCATCGGGGCAAGATCACTACGTCCCTTACTAACAACAGCATTACACTTACGGAACTAATAACAGGAGGAGTTGAAGCGGTCGGAAACACGAAATCAATCAATCTAAATCTCAATAAATTTCAATATCTGATTCTCAATCAATCTCTGTCAACCTCTCCCACACACACTCGCTTGCATGCATTGCACGATCATACATGTTCGGCCTTCGGCCGGTTTCGACGAGCCGAAGGGAACGTCGGATCCGGTTCTCACGTTCTAACGGGGGAGGGACCCGAAAAAATCAACAATCATGTGATTTTTTTCAGCTGATCCTCCTGAGTAAAATGAGTGCAAAGATCTAATTGGAATGTTCTGTCGCAGGGCTGGGAACGTGGCGAGGGCCATTGTGCACATCATCAACGACGGTTCCTCTGGCTCTGTGTGGATGAGCGAGAATGAGGAACCGACCTACCGACTCTACTTCCCTGAATACAACGATATGCGCGTTCCTAAGTGATTCGTTTCAAGACTTTTGTTTCAAAGTACATTACTGCATAACACAAATAGAATAATCCGAAATAATGAAGTGAAAAAATTAAACATAAGTGACGTCTATAATTCATTCTATGAAAAAAATATGAAATACAAATGTATTAAATTAAATTAAAAGCCTTTATTTCTTAATACATTAATAATCATATTGATTGTTAAGAATCATTATTATCTCATATTATTAAGACGTCTATCTTACATTACTTTAAGAGTGCAGTACACACACATTTTTGTATTGTAAAATGGTATTAAAGATTATTATTTTGATAACTTGATTCTATTTAAATAACAACCAAAGTCCAATTCCATTAACTTTAAGGTCCGGAAACAATTAACATTTTTCATAATTCTAACAGTACAGAGAAATGGTTGTACATACATACGTATAATCACAATAATCAAAATCAAAATAAGTGGTGCGTTCTACCATAGTTCCTTCATTTCTTGCTTCTTGGATGAGATTTTAGCTTTTCAAGCGTTTTTACTTTCTTCAAAAACTATTTTTTATGCATCTCGATTCCAAGTATTGAGTAATCATTATGCACCAACACTTCCGTTTCAGTAGAAATAATAAAATGCTTATAAAATAGAACCGACCGAAAGTGATTAATTTCATGTGTAACAAATCGTACCATGCATGACATTAGCATATTCATAAACAATCACACTTTATACTCGGTCCAAACATGGACCCCAAAGAGGATGAATACCTGCATCTGTATGAGCAATGATGGATTCTAAAATTGTCGGATGGAGAGGACGAACTTGGGAAAGCTAAATTTCAAACTAATAATAACGCACAGCAATCCTCATTCACACCATTTTGTCTGGAAACAAGGACTCAAAAATTATGGATTCTAGCTGCACTAAATGCTACAGGAAGTAATTGATTATATTCAGGGGCCAGATTTATTCTCTTTTTCATTTCCTGAGTTCAGAAAAAAACGTTTTTCTACCGAAAATACGCTGTTTGCCGCAGCATTACAATATTTTACGCTGCGTAAGCAAGGACGAGAAAGTAATAATGTATTATACCGTTTATTCTGCGCCGATAAAATCCTTTTAATTAAATATATTCTTTGCAACTTATATAGGGAATTTTAAACAAATAATGTCATACTGTAGCGGTACAGAATTATTCAGATAAATTAAATTGAGTAAAGCAGACCTAAGAAATTTTTGTACTGAAGAAAAAACATAACGTCGTAGCGGATGCAGCCCTTTCTTGGCAACAGCCAGGTCCGCCTGACCCATTTCGAAGGGTTATGGAACCCACCCAACAACCGACAAAGGGGGGTAAAGACTGTAAAAGCGCCAGCGGGAGCCCGCAGCTGGAATACTTTTCGAACGCTGTCATCGTGATCGGGAAATTCGAAGTCAATAATTCAGTAAGCCAGTAAAGACTCTTCCAGACACGTGAACTATCTTCTGAAACAGATGAACGGGAAAAAATCTATACTCCGCGGAGCCATTGCCAAATTTAGTGTTCACGCCATCACTCAGCCAATAGCGAAGCGATCTTTGTGGGAGCAGAGATAATATGATGAAGAAGGGTGGGATAAGAGTTAACCTGTGCTTGTAGTGAGATATAAATTACCATTAGGAGAGATGAGAACTTCTTGGGGTGGAGCCGGTCGCGGAGAGAGGTGGTGCACCTCCTAGGCCTCACTTGAAGTTTTTAATATTAGAGAGGAAGTGCAAAGGCACTTACGGGAATAGGCGAATTCCTTGCCCTGCTTATTAGCTACAAATTGCAATCGTGATAATTTGTTCGAGAGGAACGCTCAGACGCTTAGAAGAGACAATGCTCTATGTTGCTCGCATTGTAATGGGGGGTCAATTACACCCGCGCATTTACGACTCCGCCGAAGCAGCTCGCAGACGGCCCTTCGCTGACGTCACGGACCGCCGCAGCCGCCGCCAGCCGCGCCGACGACCTGCTGAAGGTGTGCCCTGGCCGCATTCTTGGAAAGGACACCCCGGCCGCCCACAAGCTCCGTCGCGCTCGCACGGGCCTACTAAGCACATTTGCCACGGAGGGTTTCCAGGCAACGTAATCAGGGTCAATAAGCCATTAGAGACTATTGTTAAAGCGGTGCCGCGCTGAGGCACAGAAAGATCCTCAGGGACAAATTTGTAATTGTAGCTGTAGAATAATTTTTGTATTACTCTTCTTTAGTTGTAAGTTCTTCTTAATTTCTAATCTTTATTTTATTTTATTCATAATTTTCTTTTCATCGATGTAACTTCCCTGGTACAGCCCTGTCCAGGAATAAACGTTGCCTTTTACCAGTAACCAAATTGTTTATTTTGAATGCCCATGCATGCTTTAGCTTACAATGCCTTCCATCACTGAATCTTATGTTCAGGAAATTGTTACAATTGGCTAGTTTTTATACGAGTAAGGGAGTAGGACCGACTGAGCTAGAACCGGGCCGCTAACCGCGCGTTTCCCTACGTCGCGAGTTGGTTGTTACAATACGTAATACCTATTTTTATATAGTACAAATAGATTTAGACATTACATAATTTGACGTAGGGTCATAGCATCGTACGTCAGAATCAGGTACAATATCTTTGTTGATCAAGATCTCCAAAAAACTTCAAGTCATTAACATCAATTGCAGAATGTCAATTTTCTCATGATTTGTCTCAAGTATTGTACACAAGCAGCTTGAACCGAGATTGTTTTAAGTGTCTTACGGACAGTAAATATCCGCAAACTACATCATCAGTCTATTAACGCAATAATACATATATTTTCACCGTATGTAGATAGGAATCATGGTTATAAAATATTTTTGACCATAAAATGATAAATATCTTCAAAGACAAGATAAATATGTTCAAAGACATGATAAGTATCTTCAAAAACAATATAATCATAAGAATAATTGACGACTAAAACCTTGCAAAACACTTATCTGGAGGTGTGTTCTCCTCTGTTTTAGATAACACTGTGATAGACTTTACAGAAGAGGGCGTGGACCTTAAAACAGAAGATAATCAAGACACTCGTGTGGGTGTTTTTCCGTAAATTAATGACAGATTGAAGAAAACGTATCAGATTATTGAGGAGAAATATTAACGTTTGAGTTACGGAGGAGAGTACATATTTCAATACCTTTCGCAAACATTTAGCCACAATTATGCCACGGAAAGAAGAAAACATGTCTTTTACTCAGCTCCTACGTAGTGGAGGTTGAAATCAAAACTGATGTATTTTTAACTTGAATTCTAATATTGAACATTTTTATCACTTGAAAATTAAATTTGCTGTGAGATTTGATTTCGTAGAGTAAACATAACATTAAAATAAAAGAGAAACGTTTTCGAGCTGGCCCAAGACATATGGACGCTGGAAAGATAAATTCCAGTTTTAATTTACATAAGACTCAGTTTCTGTGTGCATGCATATGAGGTTGTGAATTTGAAGATGAATGCGTGTATTTATGAACGTACGAACTCGTACATGGGGGAAAACGTTCCAACAACAATCAACACGAATTTTCTACAAGATTGTATTAAACCCATCATTAACACCTTTGGGCTCATCTAACATGGAAACTCTCGACTTAGAAAATAAATTATCAAAAAATACAGAAATCCATACTACTGGACACCTGTCGTGTTACAAGAAGTTTCAGTGAGGTGAGGTGAGTTGGGTTTCCGGGGGTCTGAACAGTTCCGTATGTGTAGTGCATGTTCTCTCCCGAGGGGAGGTGGCACTCGAGCGGGAGGTCCGGCCGGCGCCGATCTGCATGTCGGCCAGCACTCTCCATGAAGCTTTAAGCTCCCAACTCGCCTCCTGTTGGGTTCGAGTCCTGCCTGAGGCATGGTTGTATTTGTGTTGGTCCTTTCACCCCTCACCATCACCATATCACATCATACTGTTAGCCATATCGTTAATCTATAGTGAGCGCTAATGACCTAGCTGTTGATGCGACCTTAAAAAATAAATAAAAAGAATATGAATTTTGCTTGTATCGTAGAGAAAAATGTGTGAAAATGCATACAATTCCTTGTTACTTATTTCTGTCCCTTCATCACTTACTGTGATATTTACTTATCACTTTTGACCGAATCTAACACTTGAATGTGGGTAACACTACATGATTAATTACAATACGGTGTATATCATATATACGGTAGTATATCTAGTAAATGAAAAAATATTTTGAGTATGCATTTCAGAATAGCTTCTTTGTTCAAAACGTCATAAATTTTGCAAATGTGTTACATAAACATACTAACTTGGTTCCAAAATGCCCCTTCATAAAGTAAAGTTGCATTCAATACAACAGAGAAATTGTATTCAAGCAAACAATATTAATAGAGAAAACTTGAGGGCAACATTTTCGGAAAGAGTAATTTGTTCTTAGAATCAATGCCATGAGAGAATTATTTTCTTCCAAAAATTTAGTAATGTCATCGACATTGAAAGAGAAACTGAAGGTGATTGACCTGAAAGCTATTTACACATCTATGCTTCCTGACACAAAAACAAGCAAACATTAGCCGCTTATTCTCTAATCTTAATAATCTCGAAAGCGTACAGTTCATCCTTCAAAATATGGAAGAGAAAGATATTCGATGCAAACACTCCTTCCACTCCATGCACTTCAGACTGAAAGGTTACTCAAGGTTACTTCATCTTGTTTCCATAGCGCAGTGCCGCTTTCGCTGCGATAGGAGTTGGTCGGTGCGTATGCTCCAGTGAGTAGTGCAACTTGCGTAAAAGGTTTGTATCATTATCTTCATTTCCAGTTGAAGGACATTTAGCTCGAAAATGTCACGATTATATTAGAATTTGTTATAAGAAAAGATGAGTTCTGTGACACCTTTTGGAAAATCAGATTGTTAAATCGCAAGGCTGTATAGAATCACATAATGGCTTAAAAGGGAGAACCTTCTTTTAAATGCTATTTCTACATGTTCAGAACTTTTTTCCTTTAAGGGATTGTAAAATTTCCAAGTTAAAGTAATATTAGGAATGGTTACGTATCAAACTGTCCCTGAAGACTATTGGAACGTTTAATAAATATTGGCGAGTTGCCGGTTTTGAGAAATGGAAACCACTGTTTCTTTGATTAATTACTATCTTTCCTCTGATAAATCACCATGATCATGCATGTATACTTTAAGGGCTCATTTTTAGACAACCGGAATGATTTCCGAACTGTTAATTTAAATTTCAGCGATTTTTTTTTCATATTCTTGTAGCCATTTCGGACCATACGTTGAGATACTTGACTGAAGGTCAAGTGCAT